ACCAGCCTCAAAATCCTGTTTTAGCTTTGCTTTCGTGACACCATCCTCTTCCTATCCCTCTTGACCTCCTATTTTACCTCTAACCTCTTGTTACTCTAAGTGTGATCCAGAAGACCAGGGGCATTGATAGCATCTGGGAGTTTGTTAGGTTTGCAGACTCAGACCCCAAACCTACTCAATCACAATCCTCAATTAACATGATCACCAGATAACTCCTGGAACGTGAATGTTTTGGGATCGTTGCTGTAAATGTTCATGTGCCCCAGAGCCTTGGGCTGTACTTTCTTCCCACGTGGTCCTGTCCAGATCCAAGGCTTTAAGAACTCCATTTTTTTTTATCTCCAAATCTCTGCCATAGCTCTGACAGCTCTCCTAAATTCCAAATTCATATACTCAACAGCCTACAGGACATGTGCATTTGGAGGTCTCAAATATTTCAAACCTAGTGTGTTGAAAAAGAAACTCTCCCCATCTCACTACTGAGTTCCACCAAAGTAAAAATTCAATTTACCAAGCCCTCACAATGATACTGGTATGATCCTCAATGCAGAACATGTATCAGCTCCTTTAGTCCTCATACTACCGCTAAGGGACAGGTACGATTATTGTTCCCATTTTACAGAAGAGTAACTGAGACATGGAGAGTTAAGTACAGGCATACTTTGTCTGATTGGGCTTCATCTTACTGCCCTTTGCAGATACGGTTTATTTTCGTTTTAACAAATTGATGGTTTGTGGCAACTCTGTCAAGCAAGACTTGGTGCCATTTTTTCCAACAGCATTTACTCACTTTGTGAGTATGTCACATTTTGGTGATTCTCACAATATTTCTACCTTTTCACCACATTTTTTGATGGTCTTTTATCAGTAATCTTTGATGTTACTATGGTAATGTCTCAGGGTGCCACAAGCTTAGCCCACAAAATAAAAAACTACCAGTAAATGTCGGATGTATTCTGACTGTACCACCAACAAGCCATCCCCCCCATCTCTCTCACTCTCCTCAGGCCTCCCTTCTGCCTGAGACACAATATTGAAATTATGTCAGTGAGTAACCCTACAGTAGCCTCTAGGTGTTCAAGTGAAAGGACGAGTCACTCACCTCTCACTTTAAGTCAAAAGCTAGAAATGTGGGGCGCCTGGGTGGCGCAGTCGGTTAAGCTTCAGCCGGTCACGATCTGCCAGGTCCGTGAGGACCTTTCAGGCTCTGCGAGCTGAGGCTAGAGCTGGAGCTCTGTTCGGTTGATGCCTCTCTCTGCTCCTCCCCCGTTCATGCTCTGTCTCTCTCTGTCCCAAAAATAAATAAACGTTGAAAAAAAAATTAAAAAAAAAAAAAAAGCTAGAAATGATAGAGCTCAGTGAGGAAGGCATGTCAAAAGCCGAGACAGGCCCAAAGCTAGGCCTCTCGTGCCAAAGAGGTAGCCAAGTTGTGAGTGCAAAGGAAGGGTTCTCAAAGGAAATTAAAAGTGCTACGCCAGTGAAGACACAAATAAGAAAGTGAAATAGCCTTATTGCAGATATGGAGAAAGTTTAAGTGTCTGGATAGATCAAACTGGCCACAATACTCCCTTAAGCCAACGCCTGATCCAGACCAAGGCCCTAACTCTAATTCTATGAAAGCAGAGAGAGGTAAGGAGGCTACACAAGTTTAAAACCAGCAGAGGTGGGTTCAGGAGGTTTAAGGAAAGAAGCCGTCTCCATAAAAGTGCAAGGTGAAGCTGTAAGCACTGGTGTAGAAGCAACAGCAAGTGATCCAGAAGATCTGCCTAAAATAATTCATGAAGGTGGCTACACTACACAACAGATTGTCAATATAGACAAAACAGCCTTCTGTTGGAAGAAGAGGCCATTGAGGACTTTCAGAACTAGAGAGAAGTCAATGTGTGGCTGACTCTCTGGCTACGAGTCAATGCAACTGGTTCGAGACTGAAGGCAATGCTCATTTATTATTCTGAAAATCCTAGGGCCCTTAAGAATTATGCTAAATGTCCTCTGCCTGTGCTCTGTAAATGGAACAATAAAGCCTGGATGGCAGCACATCTGTTTACAACATGTTCTACTGAACATTTCAAGCCCACTATTGAGACCTACTGCTCAGAAAAAGATTCCTTTCAAAATATTACTGCTCACGGACAATGTACCTGGTCACCCAAGAAACCTGATGGAAACGTACAGTGAGATTAAGGTTCTTTTCACACCTAACATACAATCCATTCTACAACCCATAGATAGAGGAATAATTCTGACCTTCAAATCTTAAATACACTTCTAGCATCTAACTTCGGCTCAGGTCATGATCTCACAGTTTGTGGGTTCCAGCCCTGCATCGGGCTCTGTGCTGACAGCTCAGAGCCTGGAGTCTGCTTCAGATTCTATCTCCCACTCTCTCTGCCCCTCCCCTGCTTGTGCTGCGTCTCGGCCTCTCAAAAATGAATCAATGTCATTAAAAAAATTAAGAAATACACTTCATACGGCTATAGCTGTCATAGTTGTGACTCCTCTGATGGATGTGGGCAAAGTAAATGGAAAGACTTCTGAAAAGGATTCACCATTCTAGATGCCAGTAAGAACATTCGTGATTTATGAGAAGATACCAACATTACTAGGAGTTTGGAGGAAGTTTGTTCCAACCCTCATGGATGACTTTGAGGGATCCAAGTCTTCAGTGAAGGAAGTAACTGCAGATATGGTGGAAATAACGAGAGAACTGGAGTTAAGAGTGGAGCCTCAAGATGTGACCAGATTGCTGCAATCTCATGAGAAAAACTTTAATGGAGGAGCAATTGCTTCTGATGAATGAGCAATAAAAATGGTTTCTTGTGATGGAATCTACTCCTGGTGAAAATGCTGTGAATATTGTTGAAATGACAATGAGGAATTTAGAGTGTTATGTCAACCTAGTTGATAAAGCAGCTGTATAGTTTGAGAGGATTGACCCCAATTTTGAAAGAAGTTCTACTGTGGGTAAAATGCTATCACATGCTACAGAGAAACTATTTATGAAAGGAAGAGTCAATGGATGAGGCACAAACTTCACTGTTATCTTATTTTAAGAAATGACCACAGCCACACCAACCACCCTAATCAGTCAGCAGGCAAGCACAGCCCTAATCAGCGAGCAGCCATCAACATCAAGCCAAGACCTTCCCAGAAAAATTTACAACTCACTAAAAGCTCAGATGATGTCTAGCACTTTGCAACAATAAAGCGATTTTGAATTAGGTATATACATTTTTGTTAGTAATAATGCTATCGCACACTTAAGAGACTACAGTATAAATCACGGTATATGTAAACACAGCTTTTATATGCACTAAAAAAAAAAAATTCATTTGACTCACTTTATTGAGATACTTTACTGTGGTGGTCTGAAACTGAACCTGCCATAGCTTTAAGGTATTCACAGGATTTGTCCATAATCATACATCTGCTACACCCAGGATTTTAAATTAGGTAGTAAGACTCCACAGCCTGCTCCTAAATGTTATACCTCTCAATCCCATCTGCCCCATAGCTAAATGTAGAAATCTAAAAGTCATTTATTTCAGGGTGCCTGGTGGCTCAGGCAGGTGAACGTCCGATTCTTGGTATCAGTTTAGGCCACAATCTCATGGTTTTGAAGTTTGAACCCTGTGTGGGGTTCTGCGTGGACAATGAGGAGACTCTTGGGATTCTCTCTTTTCCTCTTTCTCTGCCCCTCCCCTGCTCCTGATCTCTCTCTCTCTCTCTCAAAATAAACTTTAAAAAAAAAGTAGGAAAATCAAAGTCATTTATTTCTGCATCATCCACTTCCAATCCTGTATAACTCCAACATTATCTTGAATTGATGTACTTCTCTCCATCTCCATGGCCACCACCCTTGTCTGAGCCACCATTTTGCCTGTGCATTCGTGAACCTCCTAACTGGTCTCCCACCTTCCACTCTACCTGGTCTTTCCCTGACAGAGAGTTTTTTAAAGTAAGAATCTGATGTCATGTCTTGTTGAAACTGCTTCATGGGCTGCCATAGGCTTGCTAAGGCCAAAAGAACTGTTTGTAACTTGAGCCCTGTCTTCTCCAGCTTCTGTCCTACATTAGTCTTAGGGGCTCCTATTCCTGGGCCATGCCAAGAATGTGGCCCACCTGCTCAGATCAGAGACTTGGCTCTTTCTGTTCCCTTGAGTCAAGACCATCTTCTTTTCTCTAAGCTCCCTTATCCTGCAGGTCTCCATTCTCATGCTGCCTCATCCCAACCACCCTACCTAAAAGCTCACTCTATCACAGCACTGTTCCCTTCACAGCACTTACCACATTTGAATCTGAAAAAAAATATGTATCTTATATGTACACATATATAGGTGTATTTATATATGTATATATATATGTATACATATGTATATATATATATACACACACATGTATGTATGTATATATGCATACATAAATATATGTACATGCATATATATGCAGTAGTTCAAACTATGGAGCAAGTCAGAGTCCATGTGGGTTCAAATCCTGGCTCTACACTTTGATCTCTCTGTGGCTCCCTCTCCTTATCTCTTAAGAGGGGGTATAATAGTTTGCACTTAATATGGCTGCTATAATGAGTTACAATCCATAGCACATAATAAATGCTGTTTAAGCATTTGCTACAATTATTATGTATAGCTGAAGGCCAGGACCTTGCCCCTTATCAACTCTGTATTTCCAGTGCTTAGAACAACCAGCTGATAAAAGTTTGTCAAATGACTATTGTTCCCTTCATGTAAGTGACAGTATCTACCATTTCCCAATACTGTATGGATGTTTTTACCCCGAAATCACCAATTAATGTGCCTTCATGGTCTATTTTACATGCATTTATTTTATTCTACTCACACTGTACAATTGTTAAGCAACCTACAAAAAGTACAAAAGCCTAGTCCATTTTCCAATACCAGGTCAGAGCTAAGTTGCAAAAAAGGAACAGTACCGTAAGTTACAAGGAAAGTTTGGGTGTCCTGTACAAGTCATACTGCCTGTCACATGATGTATTTAAAGCTGTAAGTATTGCCACAGGAGAATCTCTTGTCTTTGCAGCGACCACACAGTTCCTGTCGATGCGGCCTCCTTAGATCAATGTGTCTTTTCTTTTGAGGACAGGAACAACGAGACTTTGAACAGGTCTTTAGAAAACAAGGAACAGTTTGGACACTAAATAATTAAATCAGTGTTTCAAATATAATCCTCAAATTAAAATACTTCTCCCCACCATCCCTATCCTTGATGTCGGCATCTTCCTTTGAGTCCTATGAGAAGTCCTAGACCAAGTTGTACAGAGATACTCATATCCCATTAAATGCTATGCATTTTTCAAGATCAAAGAGCAAAGATGGTATTTGAGACAATACTGCTAAGCCAACCAAGAGGATCTCATGACAGAAAAAGGTTTGGGAAGTTAGAGTTTATAGGATTTCTTCACTAATAAGTTTTTACATCTGTAGCCAGGTAGGGGTGAGAGGCAGTGAGTAAGTATTAAGCGATTTGATTATCTAGGCTGGAATATTTGAAAACATTAGAGCAGTGTCTCAACCAGCTGTACTGTACCCACCAGCAGACATCTGGCAATGTCTGGAGATGCTTTTTGGTTGTCACAACTAGGGGGAAGGGTAATGTAGAGGAAGCTAATTCTCTTCTTGCTCCAGAAATGACTTACCTTCACTATAAAGTGTTCTTAACCATTATCACATTTGGTCTTCTGATAAATTAAAAAAAAAAAAAATCACACCCCATGGAGACCAGTATACTGCCCTTGTACACCCTCTCAACCCTGCTTATCTTTAAAATTGACCACTGCTCTATTTTCTGCACGTGACCATAGCTAAAAAAAGTCAAGCTTTACAATTTATATTGTGGAACTAGGAATCTTCATTTTGCCAAAGTCTAAATTATTTATGAAACATTGTACTACATTTACAACTTCCACTCTTCCAGTGACAAGTATGCATCCTTATAAGAAAATTCTAGTAGCTACTATTCACATGGTGTTTGCTGCATGCACTATTCTAAGTACTTTATATAAATTCATTTAATCCTCACAATACTTTTACTGTGGAAAAAATTAAAATATAAATAAATAAGGATTTACTCTAAAGGTAGGTTTCTGTTTCTGGCAATGGTGTACTAGGTAGTTTTGACCAAGCCACCTGCTTAGGATAACTAGAAAAGCTGAGCTAAAGAAATAACTTTTAAAAATAAATATTTGAAGCACTACAGAATTATCAAAGCATTAGAGAAAGAAACCCAGAAGTGGAGGGGAGCCTGACATTTAGGACTATTTCCTCCCTAAAGGTCTGCCAATTCTGAAAGAAATGAAGGACAGTGAAAAGCTGAAAGGAAGTTTGACAAGTCAATGTAGCTGATGGATAATCTTAAATACGCCAAAATGGGAAAGACCTGGTAAACAGTTCAGGTTTTGTGTTGGGACCCTGAAAGGTTACAACCTAAGAATAAAGATGAACCAAAAATTGACCAGCTTTTACAGATGCTAAAGCCCAGTTTCGAAATAGCTCAACCCTGTTTAGAAAATAGCAATCTAATTGTTAATGTCCCTATCTTCCCACCAGAAGCAAGCAAATCTTCTGTGAAGGAAGATACTATCCTAGGCCTCAAATTATCACTGTAATTCTTCATATTCACTAGTCAACACTCAATCAAAAATAATCATATGAGGTACATGAGGAGATATAACAACAAATTTGAAAAACATGGAAAATGACAATGATAGCAACAGAACCATAGGGCATTAAGTTAATGGAGTTAAGTAGTACAGATTTTAAGATAATTATGCTTAACATGTTCAAAGAAATAAGACTGGTAAGTTCAGCAGAAAACTGGAAGTTATTTTTTAAAGACAAAAATTATAGCACTGAAAATAGAGTAACTTAAATCAACTCAACAGATGGATTTAATAGCAGATTGGAAATAGCTGAAGAAAGAATTAGAGAAACGGAAGACAGAGTGAGAGATGGGGCACTACGGGGTAAAATGTCCATTGGCTGATGTTTTCCCCCCCTCTTATGGAACCTTGAAGCATCAACATTTTGGCAAAACCTTAAGCTAATTCTGTTTAAATGTGATCATTACATAGCACTGACTGAGTACTTGAAATTTGCAAACAGGGAGGAGTTACTGAGACTGTAATGTTATGCCTCTTTATTTAAAAGTGTGTGCTAAGATACAAATGATTATGAGGGACACAGGTGAAATAAGTTTCCTTTAGTGTAAGTTTCTTAGCATTTTAACAGATCTCATCCAAGGGCCTATCTTACAGCCTTATTCCACTGGTTGCTTCAAATGTGAAATAGACCTACCTGATAAAATCCTTTCACTCTTTATCTTGTAACTTTGAGAAGCTATTTAACCTCTAAGTTTTCATTTCTAAAAGGGAGATAAAGAGCATTAACCTCAGAGGTTTTGTAAAATACATTTTTAAAAATTTTTTTAGGTTTATTTTAGTAGATGATATACAAACTGGAGCAAAGGGGGACAAAAGCATAGGAAATACAGAAAAGAACATAAAAGGCATAAGGGATATGGTTAAAGGTCTAATATGAGTAACTGGAATAGAGAGATAATGGGGGTGTAAGTAATATTTTAAGAGATTATAGCTGATAATTTTCCAAAAGAGGTAACAATCTTCAAGCTATAGATTCAAGAAATGCTATGAATCTCAACCAGATAAATACAAAGAAACCACAACTAGGCATCTAACTGTAAAACTACTGAAAAACAAAGCAGAGAGAAAGATCTTAAAAGCAAGTAGATTTAAGAAGGGGAATTAGTAATGCTAATAACCAACTTCAAAACAATAAAGGTCATAGCCTTAAAGAGCAGAAAGAAAACTACTGCCAACCTAAAAATTCTATACCCAGCAAAATTATCCTTTAAACCATCATCCAGGCAAAAGAGGATGTGTCACCTTCAGACCTGTGCTACAGTAAATATTAAAACATATTCTTCATGTAAAAGAAAAGTGGTCCCAGATACAAAAAGGAATGAAGAGCAGCAGAAAGGAAATATGTGTAGCTAAAGCTAAATGAATGACTATATAAAATAATGCCTTATGATGTTTAAAATTAAAATATACAACAGTAGTATATAAATTAGGATGAGGTGGTAAGGAGTTAGAGTGTTCTAAGTTCATTGTATTGTCAAGGAGAGGTATTATTAATGATTTATGCAGACTTTGATAGGTCAAAGAATCATGTTGGAATATCTAAGGTAAGTGCCAGAAGAATAGCAAATAATGAATAACTACCAAGATAACAGAGATGGGAAATTATTTTTTTATTTAAAAAAAAGTCACTTCAATGGAACACAAGAGGAATATAAGAAAATATATTTAAACCTACATTATATTAAACATAAACAGATTAAATGAGAATGTCCAACTAGAAAATATAAAGGTAAACCATTCATAAACTGTTAGACTAGTTTTTTAAATATTTATTCCTAAGTAGGACAAAAAATATTTTTAAGTGAAGGATTGAGATCTTAAAAATGTCTCAGTTATGAAAACCAACTATGCCATACTTCTCTGAAAAGTTTAAAAAGAGGTCTCCTACAAGGTGTTTTAGAGACCTAATTCTGTGACTTCCTAGAACCTGGAGACACCATAAAATATGATCAAAGTTCTAATATTTACTACTTGCTTACACTTGGGCAAGTTATTTCTTCATCAACTTTAGCCTTCTGGTCTGGATCATGGGGATAACACCTACCTCAAAGTTTAGATTACAGGAGATAATGCATGTAAAGCACTTAGCCCAAAGTCTGGTACATAGTAAAAGCTTAATACAGGTTCCCTATTAAGTTACTACATCCATATGGGATTATTGAAACACTATATCATACACCTGAAATTAATGTAACACTATATGTTAACTAACTGGGATTAAAATTTAAAAACTCAAAAAAATTACTACATCCAAATTACACAAAGGGTGTTTGATAAACAACATATATGGCCCATACATAAATATACCGTATAAAGCAACTTAAGAGTCAATATGTCTCCTCTCCTACACCCCCCAAAATCCAGAATTTATTTTTCTAAAATGTTATAAAAATTCAAGGCATAGAAAACTTAACATTCCTATTCAAATACCCAATCTATCAAATCCTAACATTTTGCCACAGAAGCTTCATATTTAAGAATGGTAACCTTATAGACTCAATAAAAGTGCTCTACATGCTTACCTGACATTGGATTGCTTCTACTCGGTAAGGGTTAAAACTCTTTTGGCATTTGCAACACAGTTGTTTGAAATAAACCTAAAGAAAAATAAGGGGTTTTTATATATACATATATATACACACACAAGATTATATGTACCTTAGGCTCCCAGTTCTTAAGTAATCTCTTCCCCACTTTGTGCCCTTTTGCCCAACCTCCACCCTGAGGTCTTAAGTAGTGCTATCAGTCCCTTTTTCTCACTCTTTGAACCTCATTTCCTTACCTGTAAAATTGAGATACTACCACTTGCTTTTTCTATAATTCTGGCAACCATTAATGTACACAAAGTACCATAGTAAAAATCTTCAATGGGAAGAAACTATTATCTTTTTATTCATTGCATGAAGGCCAAACCCTTGACCTTTGCTTTCTATCTTAGTCTATTAGCTTCTACTTTTTCATTTTCTCATTATTTCCCCACTTGAACTTCAAATTATTTATAGTTACCACCCATACATATTGTTTCTCAACTCTGCATTCTCTGGTGCACAGTTTCTCCCTGCTTCAGTTGGTGAACTCCTCCTAGTTAGCCTCAAAAATCCTGCCTGGACATCATGATGCCTTCCCTCTGACAGGGTTAATCAGCCGCCTCCTGTGTTATTTCTGCATCGCTTCCAGGACACAAATGCCACTGTGTCTATCACCACATTGCATCTTATCTCCTAGGAGAATAAATTTCTTAAGGAGGAGTCCTAGGTCTTGTTCCTTGTATCCTAGCATCTCAGAGCATGTTCATTAAACCCACTGTTTTTCTTCTGGCATAGTATAAAAATCTATTTGCTTCCAGGGTCTAGTAAATGGCTAATATGAAAAGTCAAGTTTTCATTCAGGTCTTAGCACACCTCCTTACCCGCTCCTTCTACAGGCCTTTAGCCAGAAAAGCAGTACCTAAAACGTGAAAGCACAGGGGACTCCAACTCAAATGCTTGTTGAAGTTAATGAGATAGACCAGATGTCAGCTGTTGCAAAATGAAGTGCACAAGCCCTGTGAAAGGAGAGAGAAGCTGCTTCGCCCCAGCCTACTGTTTTCATCGAGTCTATAGCGACCAGAGTCTAATCAGGGAAACTGGAAATGCAGATCATAAAGTCTTTCCCAATCTTAATGCGTTGACAACTAATTCAATTGAGAGAAAAACTGCTTAGCCTACACAAGTCTGTCCAAGGCGAACCGTTACAATAAATTATTTCTCTTATAGCTCCACCTTGTGGACAAACTATGGAAATTGCCTAGAGCCAAGGTCTCAACAGGTTCAAAACACACCAACTAAAAAATGATTATAGACAGTTCCACCGGACACAAGAGTTCACCGAAATAACATGCAATTCTGTTCCACAGAACTAACAAGCTAAATGTAACACCAGTTCTGAGAGCCTCAAGTGTTCATGTGGACAGTCCAATTCAGTTCAAACATTAACCACGTACCGATAAAAGTGCCTGGCACGAAGGATGCCAAATGAATGAGACAGCATTGTGGTCACGTTCCATTAGGAAACGCTCTCCCTCTAACATCTGTGTCTGCCCCATCCTCCTCCCATGTCCCGCTCACTTTTACTTACCTTATTAGTTCCAGAAATGCACCACACATAAGCACTCTCCCATCTGGTCTTACAATCTTTACAGTGAAAATAGCCATATTTTGGTTCCAAAAACTGCAGATAAGGGGGAAAAGTCTTTTACAATCTTTGGGGGGAAAGCCAGATCCTCTTTCCTTGTGGCTTTGTATAAAAAAACAAAAAGCCTGGCCACCTGAGTGGCTCAGTTGGTTAAGCATCCAACTCTTGATTTCAGCTCAGGTCATGATCTCACAGTTTGTGAGATTGAGCCCCACATCAGGCTTCACACAGTGCAGGTCCTGCTTGGGATATTCTCTCTCTCTCTCTCTCTCTCTCTCTCTCTCTCTCTCTCTCTCTCCCCCCCCTCCCCCCTTCTCCCACTTGCACACTCTCTCTCGCTCAAATTAAATGAATAAACTTGAAAAAACAAAAAGCTTCCTTAACTTCACTCATACCTATCCTCAAGGCTACTATGCTAATTTAGCATTTCATTGCTCAGGGATTACTCGGAGATTCTTATTTCTCCTGTCTCTCAAACTTTTCTAACGTTCTTTCAACAATGCCACCAGCACAATCTCCCCCAAAAGAAAATCTGGTCACATATTTGGCAGACCTGAAACCCCATCTTATCTCCTCATTCCCAATAGCAATGGTTACCAGACTTCTGAGTTTCACAGGCTTAAAGTTAGCACCCTATTCTACCAAAAAGTGACAAAACATATAGGCCATTTAAAACATGTTATCAGAACTACCTCTCCTTCGTCAAGTATAAAGTGAAAGATTTTTTTTCTCTGTTACCCCAGAAATGGAAAGGAGGAAAGAGAGGATAAGGCGAGTGGAGGACTGAGGACCGGGAGGAGAAAGTTCACCTGGAAGTTGGGTTTCCGGAGCAGATCTGCTCCACCGACTCCCTGTGTCTGCTTGCTCTTCCCTTCCTGAGGGTTTGGGGTACCTTCCTCCCCCAACCCATGCTGGCAAAGCTCCTCCTGTTTGTCCTCTTCAGACCTTGGCATTGGTGGTGACTGCTGCTGCTGCTGGCTGGCCTCCGCAGGACCCAAAAGTGCCTTCCTCTCCTGGTCTTCCCCGTCCTTTCGCGGCTGGATCAAGCCCCTGCAACCTATCACTGGTGAATAGACTCCCCAGGCCGGCAGGGGTACCTTGTGACCTGAGCTGCTCCAAGGGGAGCGGCTGCACAAGGTGCGAGAACCCAGCGAGCACTGCACGGACTTGTCCACCCGCGGACTCACCTGCACCCCCACCTCCTTGGTGTTGGCCTTGCAAAGCCGCAGGCTCAGGCTGGGGTTCATCTGGGAGAGAATGGCCTTAAGCTGCGCCCTCTTGTAAGGGTCCATACAGTAGTCAGAGGCATTTGCGGGCACCAGCAACCCAGGCCTGGCCAGGAAAGTGGGGGGACCAGTGTTTCGCCTCCAGTCAGGCTGTTTGTGTTCATAGAGTCCTGGCTGGCCCAAAGGCATCGTATTCCCATAGCCCTGGTACAAGCCACAGGGAACGCGGACAAAGCGTTCCATCTGCTCACCCAGCACCCAGGCACAGCACAAACCCCAGTGCGCTTTGTCTCCTTGTTTTGCCTTCCACCTTCATCCACCCTTCTTTTTCCTGATCAAGTTAGTTTAGGTCCATTCCAAGCTTCTCCATTTATTTCAGGTTCTGATGGGAGCTGCTGCCTATTTCCCTAATTAAAGGAGGACAGGAGATCTACCCATCTACAGAGGTCTAATGTCCACCTGATACCTATTTGCTCTTCCTATCTCTTCAACTCACTCCTCCCGAATCTTTCTTCAAAGCTGTTTTTCATTTAGACTTCTTACTCACATACGTGCTTTCATTAGCATGATTTGAGCATACTAGAAGAGTATATGGAAGTAAATATATCACGGCAGAGTTAATGAATGTAAAGGCCCTGGTACCACAGGAGCAAAGAAAATAAAGTTATGGGGGGGGGAGGTGTATGTGGTGAGAAAATGTACTTTAGAAGGTTATACTGTATGCCAACAGCTCTCATTAAGTCATTCCTAGTGAGGGCCACTGTCCCAAAAGGTGAAAAAAGCAAATTGTTCTGATTTAGAGGGTAAATGGAAACTTAATCACAGGATAGTTAAGTATCCGAAATCAAAAGGACTTGAACTGAAACCTGGGCCTTGTTACCAGGCAAGTTACTTAACCAGGTGATTTGGTTTCCCCATCTGACAATACTAATTTATAGAATTATTACAAGATTAAATGTGATATTACCTATAAAGCACAAAGCAGAGTAACTCATGAGTGTTAAGTGGTAACTCTAACTGAGTAAGGATCAGAGCTGTGTGTTCCTTTGCTAGACCTAGATGATCATAAACTTTGCTCTGTACTGGTAAGGCTTCCTGCTAGAACAAAAGAAAAGGATCAAACTAAAACGACACTTACGTAACCAAGAAGAGCCCACCCTTTGTCTAATCTAAGGTTGTTTCATTGTTTACTGCCCAAGAGCTTTGTGACAGCAGCAAGGTCTATAAGCAGCTCTCACACCAGAATCCAGAAAATTTAGGTTATACCAGCCAGCCGTAATTAAGCTTCCTGCTACCCAGGTCACAGACCCTGTGAACGATGGTGACAGACCAGTCTTTCAAGGCGACTTAGAGAAAAGAAAGGCACAAAACAGGGTGACTGGCCGCTGTAAGAATATAAATACTACGGAAGCCTGCAGAGGGGAACACCTGCAGGAGAGCTACGGTCATTTCACAATTTTTCAAGGCTTAGAGGTCTTGGAAACCTGCCACGTAAGAGCAACATGGGGACTAGAACTAAAGTCCTCTGGCTTCAAATCTCAGCCCTTTCCACTCTATGCAGAGCACGCAACCGGGAAGGCAGTTAGCCACAACCACGGCCCACTCTGGGGGTTCCCAAGGTGGGCCACTTTAGGGGACGCCTTTCTTAGGGGAGAACAAAGGTCTTTCAAAGACCCCAGGCCGTGTACCCTAGAGGTCACCCAAACGTGAGGTGGGGCAGAGGGAATGAGGAGTGGCGAAGTACACTTTGTGCGCGGTCGCCCCCCCCAGCAGCGCGGCCTGGTACTCCGAAGGCTCAGGGAGAAGACAAGAAGCAGCCCAGCTCCGTCTTTACGCGGCTCCGGACCGGACGCTCAGCAGCCGAAAAAGCGCTTGGCTTTCGCCACACGGACGCTGCAGAGCCTGACTTCCGGGTGGCGCGCACGTTGCGTGCGCGTCATGGCGTCACCGCGTGACGTGCGCAGGGAGCGGGCTTTTGGCGCGAGCGTCTGAAACAGGTTTGGCGGAGGCGGAGCTGCTGGGACTCCGCGCCTTGGTTGTTGTCAGAACCGTGGATCGCCGCGCAAACGAGCCTGCGGCTCAGATTTCTGGTCGAGGTGCCGGCGCGGTTTTTGTCAGCCTTCTCCGGCCAAAAAGAGCTCCACCAGCGGAGGCGGTTAGTGTTGGCTGGGTGGAGACGGACGGGCCGGTGTGAGGCGGCGGGGGAACGCCTCTCGTTCCCGGGGTGGGAGCCGCGGCCTCCCGCCCTCTACGGTCGGTGCCAACCTCGCACCGACTGGGAGAAAGGGCCGAGGGTTCGGCTCCTCCGCTGAGCGGACTCGAGCCCTGGCGCTTCCTTGGGACTCCACTTCCCAGCTTCGGGCCCCGCCACCCGCCCAGGATTTGCCCCTTAGCTGCCCCAGATGTCCCAGTCTGAAGTTTCCTTAATTGGGAAGACGATGAAGTTAACTTTAACGGAATATCGCAATTCCGGAAAATGTTTTACAGCTCCTGGTACGCTGTATCTGTCTTGCTTAAGCCCTCCGGCATTTGCTGTATTACGAAGATTTACTGATTTGAAATTGTCCAAAGATAGTTACCTCTCATAGGACCCCTCACTGACAGCATCCCCTAGCCGCACATGACTAGTTAACTTAACTGAAAGTAAACATTTAAAATTCTGTTCTTGAGTCGCGCTTCCCCCGTTTCAAATGCTTCATGTGGCTAGTGGCGACTCCGTTGGACAGCACAAACACGGAACGCTCCCATCCTCGCAGTGAGTTCAGCTACCGTCCCAAAAGATAGGACCGAGGTAAAGAAACAATGTAACTTTAGGCAAGTTTACCTGCTTCTCTGATTGTACCTTAGAGTCAGTTAACAAGGACTGCATCCCTGTGAAGTGTATTTGGTGTTTTTTTGTTTGTTTGTTTTTGCAGAGTTACCAAGCATCGGAGTAATATTGTAGATAAAAATGCCTATTGGGTGCAAAGAGAGACCAACTTTTTTTGAAATTTTTAGGACGCGGTGCAATAAAGCAGGTATTGACAAAGTTGATCATTTACCTTGAGAAAATGTTTTCAGAAAAATATGTAAATATGCATGCTTGCTGAAAAGAATCCAATACTTGACGGTTTTGTTTACACTGTAAACTGTTCCTTCTGGAGTCATCCATCCAGTTAAGAAAATGGTCATTTAGGGTTAGCCAAAAGATAAGTGTAGAACCCTGGGGATAAACAAAAGACCAGCCTCTTAAAATTAGTAGTAGGAAGAATTGCTTTTAAAGCACAGACCTTCTAGCAAATCAGAAGCATTGGTAATGTTACTTGACAGGAGGAGTTGTCAAACTTTTTAGTGTCAATACTCCTTAAACTCTTAAAAATGATTGAGGACCTCAGAGAGCTTTTGTTTATGCAGACTACCATATAGAAATAAAAGCTAAGAATTTGAAAAAAAATGTTTATTAATTCACTTAAAGATAAACCCATTGCATATTAACATAAATAATATTTTTTTGAAAAATAACCGTATTTCCCGCCCCCCAAAAAAGAAGGATGGCTCTGTTTTCCAATTTTTTTTAATGTTTTATTTGAGAGAGAGCCCACACGCAAGCAGGCGAGGGGCAGAGAGAGAAGGAGACAGAATCCAAAGCAGGCTCCACACTGTCAGCACAGAGTCCTGTGGCGGGGTTCAAACCACAAGCCTTGAGATCATGACCTGAGAAGTCTGATGCTTAATGGACTGAACCATCCGGGTGCCCCTACAATTTTGCACTTTAATATCTGGCTAAATAGAAGATAGCTGGATTCTCATACCTGCTTCTACATTTAATCTGTTGCAGTATGTTGTTTTGGTACAAGCGTATAAAGAAAAGCCAGCCTCACACACCAATGTAGTTGAGAAAAAGGAGTATTTTAATAGTCTTCAGTTAATTGTGGGTATTTTTCTTTGATAATACACAAAAAATTGATAAGTGGTAGTTTAAGAGTTGCAATATGGAATTGGAAACCATATCGTCAGCTTTTTATACTCTTGTTACGTTTAATTCTATTAGTCTTTTTTGCACTTTGAATAAATCTTTTATCCATGTTGTAACATTGGGTATTGATAAGTTGTAAAATGTCAGTGTTGTGGATTACAAATATTCCATATATTGACACATTGTATTAAGCGTTAAAAATCACATGTGTTAATTCACTAATCTCATCAGAAAAATCTCCTAAGATTAAGAAGATAAGTTTACAGAGCCTTAATAAACTTTTAACAAAATTCGAATTCCCATTTAAAAGCTGTCATTTTCTCACTGGCAACAAACTTTTTTCTGCAGTGATAGGCTCACTTCATTTTTGAGAAAATGTTCACCAAATCACTCAACTCAAAATGACTTATTTGTTGTTCTTTCTACTAAAAATGACTTTCCATGAAAAAGTGCTAATTCAGCTCATAACTCACCACTTGTGCTTTTCTAGACAACTGTTGTACTTAATATGCAGAAATGCTTGATGCATACTTTTCATTTTGTCACAGAGAATATTAAAAAGATGTGCTCAAGGGTTGGGCTTTATAAAATAATTTTTACTGCTTCATTAATGATATTTTAAGTTGGACTGGTTTTTTGGTTTTGTTTTTGACAAGTGCGTGAATGATGGAATACAATTACTAGCCCCGTTTATTGCCACTGCCTTGACTCCTGCAAAGATGTCATCAGTTTTACACACCAAGGGTGCAAATGTCACCATTGTGAAAAAAAGAAATGATACCTTCGTATTATTATGAAAATAGTTTTGACCTAATGGAGCTCTTGAATTTGTCTTGGGGACCTACCCCTCACCCTCACCCCACCACCAGTAGTCCAGAGACCACACATTGAGAATCACTACTTTAAGGGTAGATAGATCATAGTAGAAATTTTGTCATTTCTCTTTAACAGGAAGGAGTCTTTTTATTCCATTTGATTTGTGAGTCTACATGTTCCTGTACTTACAGATTTGTCACATCCCTTTATGTAGTCTTTGTAGTTAAATTGTATCTGTGGAATGCATTCTTGCTATGAATGACTTGTTTCTGAATCCTGAATATAAGAGAAAGAAAACTTTAGAAAAGCTAACTAATATAGCTAGGAGCAATCACCTTGTAACTTTTGTAAACTCTTGTTAGACCGTGCTACAGATTGGAGGGAGAACAGATTACTGCTCTTGTTTAATTAATATGCATTAACAAAAGTAATCTACAGTCAAAATCTCAAGCATCCTTTTCTTTGTTATGAT